CCCCACTTTGTTATGTGTTTTAAACTGTTTTCCTATAAGCTTAATTTTTTTTTTATTTCAGCACATTATGGGGGTACAGATGTTTAAAGCACAGCTTGGCTAGATATAAAATCCTTGGTTTACACTTTCTTTTATTGAGTTTTTTGAAAATACTCATCTTTTGTTCCTTTGCCTTGTGTGTTGTTTTTGAGAAGGCTGATGGGAGGGAGTCTGATTCTTTTGCCCTTGTCAGTTATTTGATCTTTCTATTTGTAGGCCTTGAGATTTTTTTCCCCATATCTTTGAAGTTTTAATAGTTTTTCTAGGCATAATAGTTATCTATTGTTGTGTAATAAATTACTTAAAAACTTAGTGGCTTAAGAACAACAGTAAGTTTATATTATCTTAAAGTTTCTGCAAGTAATGAATTTGGGAGCACTTTTGCTGGTGGCTCTGGTTTAGGATGTCTTCATGAGATCGTAGTTAAGTTGTTGGCTGGGACTGTAGTCCTCCGAAGGCTTGACTTGGGTCTGCTTCCAAGATGCTACACACACATATTGGCAAGTTGGTGCTTGATGCGCCAGTTGTTATCCACATGTACTTCTCCATAGACTTCTTGACAATGGCTGGCTTCTTCCAGAGTGAGTAATTCAAGAGAGAGCAAACTGGAAGCTGCAATGTCTTTTATGACCTACCTTAGGTTTTTTAGTTATTTTAGGTGAGAGACTAAATTGGTTCCTATTACTTCATCTTGGTTTGAATCAGAAGTCTCTCAGCCATTATGTCGTCCATAACTTGTGTGCCCCAGACGATCTCTCTTTTTCTCCTGGTACTTCAATTATATATTTGTTTGACCTTTTAGGGTCTAGCTAGACTCTATTATGTTACTTTGAAGAAAATTGATACTTTGTCGGTTTGGCTGAACTCAAACTCCAAACTTTTTCTTTCTGTGGTGGACAGTAGCTCAGCTCTCTGTTCAGTTGTTTAGACTTTTAACTGTTTACTTGGAATCTGCCCACACTTGCATAGTTTATAGGTCAGCCAGATATTTGGGCAGAGTTTATATGAAGCATTTGGGGTTCTCTTTCTCTAGCTCTTGATTTCTTGACTTTCCATCTTCAATTCTAACTAATGTATTTGCCCTTAGCTCTGTTCTGAATTCTGTCAATCGATGAACTTAGGGTTTTTGTCAAAATTTTTAGCCAACCTACATGGTGCTGACTGGGCCCTGCCTTCAGGTAAAAAGTGTGAAAATTCACCCGCTACCATTTCTTTCTTCTAAGTCTCACTACCCCCTCCAATTTCTGCTTTCTTTTGGTCATCCTCTATTATCTTCAAATACTTTGTCCAGTTGTATTATCTAGGAGGATTTGTTTTCAGTGAAAGTTTTATGACCCTCACTTTTTTTTTAGGCTTTTGCTTAAAGAATCTGTCTTAGTGAGGCCTTCCCTTATTATGCTATTTAAAAATTGCAGAACCACCCTCCCCTTTTTGGTGCTTCATTTTATATACAACTCTTTGCACCAGTTGACACAGAATGTATTTAAAACATTTGTTTATTTTCTGAATTCCCCAACTAGAATGTAAGTGCCGTGAGAGCAGACACATCTCTCTCTGCTTCAGTGCTGTTTCTTCAGTACTTAGAATAGCTCAGATTGAATGCTTAATAAATATTTGTTGTATGAATGAACTAGT